ATAGGATACAAGTAACCTGTACATAGACTATGAGACTATCCCTACTGTGGTTTTTGCCCATCCACCGATTGGTACTTGTGGTCTCACAGAAGCTCAAGCCGTTGAGAAGTATGGTAAGGATAATCTAAAGGTAATTTATTAAACTCTCTTCTCATCATAGTTACTCTATCATCATCATCACTATTCAGATCTATCGTTCAAGGTTTGTGAATCTTTATTATGGTATATTCCAAGTAGAGCCCTCTGATAAACCAAAGACTTTGGTAAAAGTAATCTGTACCGGTCCAGAGGAGAAGGTTGTTGGTCTTCATGTCATCGGTATGGGTGCTGATGAGCTTTTACAAGGCTTTGCAGTAGCTATGAGGATGGGTGCCACTAAGGCTGATCTTGATCGTACTGTTGCTATACATCCTACTGCTGGTGAGGAGATTGTTACTCTAGCACCTTGGGGACCTATGTCTAAGCATTAAATCAACACACCACGTAGTAGTAGTAGTACTATGTTTTAAAGTGTACGGGAGCTTGTCAATCATCAAACTATAGCGGATAAAGTGATTAAAAGTCGCCAGCGAGAGAACGAGCTTCCTGTTTAATAGTGTCGATTTGTGTTCTCCCCATGGATCTAGTCTAGTGTGGGTCTATCCTGTGTGGCATCATAGGTAGGATCATGCAGTTACCGAGCCTATTGGGTTATAGAGTTCTACTATGTTATACGTAGGAAGTGGAGGAATCAGTTCCATAGTAGATAGAATTATCCATTACTTGTTGTGATTGTTGATGCTAACTACTACTACTGCTCATGCTAATATCATCATCAACAACTCAGCAGTGCGGTATGCTATTACTACTACTACTAGATTATTGTGTATTACATCCCCTCTTGTTAAGAACGATATGAATGGTAATGGTGGTGGTGGTAGTTTTGGGGCTTCGCCACTAGTCTTGAAAAGAAGTATGTCATCATCAATAACTGCAGCAGCAGCAGCCGTAGTATCATCCTCATCCCATAAAGATTTGGATTACGATTACCTTGTGATAGGTGGTGGTAGTGGAGGTAAG